CGGTGGGCAAGCCTCAAAGAGTTAACGCAACGCCAGCTACACACACACGCACACACACACACACACACACATATATATATATATATATATATATATATATATATATATATTTAAATTTACAACTTCACAAAAATTAAAACCATTACATTGGACAAAATAATAATAATAATAATAATAATAATAATAATCATGATGAAGAAGAAGAAGAAGAAGAAGAAGAAGAAGAAGAAGAAGAAGAAATAATAACTGCTATGTAATGTTTCATGGTAGATATAAAAATAGTTACAAGTGTTTACCAAACGATCAACCTGTAGCGGGACATTAAGGCATTTTTTTTTACTCCCGTTCAACCTGTAGATGGACATTAAGTCATTTTTGTCTACCACCGTTCAACCGGTGGCTGGTCATTAGGTCATTTGTGTCTACCACCGTTTAACCGGTGGGTGGATATTGCGTCATTTTTGTCTACCACTGTTCAACCGGTGGCTGGGTATTACGTCATTTTTGCCTACTACTGTTCAACCGGTGCCTGGGTAATACGTCATTTTTGCCTACCACTGTTCAACCGGTGGCTGGGTATTTCGTCATTTTTGCCTACCACTGTTCAACCGGTGCCTGGGTATTTCGTCATTTTTGCCTACCACTGTTCAACCGGTGGCTGGGCATTACGTCATTTTTGTCTACCACTGTTCAACCGGTGGCTGGGCATTACGTCATTTTTGCCTACCACTGTTCAACCGGTGGCTGGGCATTACGTCATTTTTCTCTACCACTGTTCAACCGGTGGCTGGGCATTACGTCATTTTTGTCTACCACCGATAAAGCGGTGGTCAAGGATCAAAATATTAAGAAAGCTCAGAATAAAAAAAAACAAAGCAAACTTTACTCTGATTTATCGTCTGCTTCGCCGCCATATCCAAAAACTGGATAAATTATCTGTGAGGCATCCGTTTATTATTGATTGATTGTTTGTTTGCTATGTTTAACGGCATATCGACTACTCATAGGTTATTTAATACCAACATTTTATTTTCTTGTGAGATTTAAGGTAATAAAAATATGATATATTTTTTTGCTGTAACAAAAAATACATGGTTGGTTGTACTTCGCTTTTGATCATATACATATTTATGTCGACATAATTACAAAAGGCGGTAATACAGTGCTGTTCGATAAAAGTGACTCACTTGACTTTTTTTACTAAAAATATTTTTCGTCTATTGTTTTTGGGGTTAAATTAATTTTTAATCTTACTAATATAAAGACCCCTTTCCGGACCACCTAGGAAAAAAAGTCTATTCACCCTAAGGTATTCTATTGATAATTATAAATTTGGATATAAATGAGATTTAGGAAAAAAAATCTGTGCAAAAAAAGTAAATCAGATATCGCATTCTAATGATTAAACTTGTAAATTTAAAGAGCTTTTGACAAAATATTGAAAACTCTTTTACAATACACTCAGAACAATATTCTAGAGAATTCTATAACAGCTTAAATTAAATCTAGAGTATTCCAGAAAGCCTCATACAGTATAAAAACAGCTTGAAATAGCCACTCAGAACTACTTAAGGCATATATTATTGCCCTCTCAAAAGCAGGCAAATCTACGAGAGAAATTGCGGAAATTGCTATAACCTCGCAATCAACTGTCTCTCGAGTGCTTAGGGCACATAATGATGCCACTCCTGCTCCAAGGAAGGAAACAAGGGGATGAAAGAAAAAGATTGATGATAGAACTGGCAGGGTAATCAAGAGAGAAGTTGCGAAGAGTAGGACTATAACTAGCCAAGAATTTGCAGCCAGTCTAAGCGAAGAGCTAGGTGTTAGTCTTGTCTCTTCAACAGTCCATCGGTGAACAAGGCTACAAATCTTGTACACGAAGGTTTAAGCCGCTAATAAACAAAGCCAACAAAGCCAAGAGACTTGAATGGGCTCACTATTACAAAAATTTCACTGTAGAAGAGTGGAAGAATGTTCTCTTCTCCGATGAAACGAAATTTGAGCTAAATTTTAAAGGATAAGCGATCTAAAATCCGAAGAAGAAGCTTTGAAAGCTCTTTGAATTTAGCAGTAAGTACTGTCAAGCATCCGTTCAGTATAATGTTCTGGGAATGCTTTTCTTTTCATGGAACTGGTTTCTTAAAACCTATTGAAAAGACTTTCGGGAGGGAGCAGTACAAGAGAATTTTAGAGTTTTTTCTGCTCCCTTTCTGCTGAAAGGGTGCAAATCGACGCCACCAAGTTCATTTTTATGCAGGATAATGCTCCCAGTTACAAATCAAAATTGCAGAAGGTATACTTTGATGAGAAGCAGGTGAGTGTTATGACATTGCCGCCCCAATCTCCTGACATCAACCACATAGAAAACTTATGGAGCATTATATAGTGCAGGTTCTCGAGGAAGCAGTTGAGCAACAAAGATGATTTCATTGTGAATTTCATATCCCAATGGAATTCAATGCTTGTAGATGAGATTTGCCAGAAACTTATGAAGTCAATGCCAAAAAGGGTTGAAAAGGTTATTCCAAATAAAGGAGGACCCAGAGATTATTAAATATTTTGAACTATATTACCTATTATAAATAAATTATACCTCTATTATTCTTTATTTAAAGCTGTTCGGTTATGTTTCTATTGATTACTAGTTGAAGGAAATAAGTGAGTCACTTTTTTTTTGCACAGAGTTTTTCCCTAAATCTCATTTATATCCAAAATTATAATTATCAATAGAATACCTTAGGGTGAGAAAACTTTTTTTCCTAGATGGTCGGGAGGGGTCTTTATATTAGTAAGATTAAAAATTATTTTAACCCCCAAAACAATAGAGAAAAATATTTTTAGTAAAAAAAAATCAGGTGAGTCACATTTATCGAACAGGACTGTATATATGTTTTATGTTATAGTTATGTTTAGGAATACAGTTTCTTCCGGAAATTCTAGGACATTATATGGATTAATGATATGACACTTGGTTAGCGGCATATCAACATCTTTCTGGGTTATTAAATGCCGAAATCTAAATATTTTAAACGCAACTGTATACCTTCAACAATATATTAAATGTATTGTTGGTCATCTTTCTTTAAATATGTATTGTTAGTCTTTTTGCTATACGTATATATGGTAATTTTATATATATATATATATATATATATATATATATATATATGTGTGTGTGTGTGTGTGTGTATTTTATAATAGTGTTGTTATGCTTTAAGGGCTCATTATTTGCCTATAGCTAGGAACCTAACAGGTTTTACGACCCCGAATTAGGGTGGACCTCGTGACAGCAGCAATTAAGAGGATGTTTCCACGCTCCTCAATACTCAATCTTCAGATCCAATATTGTTTATCGTCATTCCCTAACACTTATTTATAAGAAAACGGAATTGTTGATAATAATACACGACATAATTTTCTTTTGTCAGTTCTAAGAGCAATCTTCCTTCCTCGTTTCTACGCGCTTGGCCTTGTGTCATTCTAAGCCAATCTTCGTAAATAAAATTTTTTTTTTTTACATTCAGATATTGGCCTGTAGACGTTTTCTGACCCTTCGCCTAGTTTCAATAAGGTTGACAGACAGGCCTGACGCAATTCTAATGTCGACAGAGACAAAGCGATCGCCTATTCAGAAGATAAAGATGAGGCATCCGTTGAAGCCCTACCTACCCGCCCACGCTTAGAAGTAGCCACTTACTCAATCACTTACGACACGGTCTTTTCTCGCGTCGACACTTTAGTCTTACCAAGTCGTTCATCTTTTGCCAAATGGGCATTGGTTGACGGCCTTATTACTTCGACTCGTCGCTCTTTGGAGATCTCGACGTCGTGGGAATTCAGGATTGAAGTCTCGTAAGTGGAAAATGCGCTCAGCTCTTGCTAATTGAAATTGAATTATTAAAGCCGTTTCAGAGTTGGCTTTTACTATGTCTGTAAGAAGATTGGAAAAGTAGAGATGCATTTCGAACGAAAATGAAAGTTATTATCTGATACGTGTATTTTGTGCATATGTATATAACAATATTTTACGCTATATTTAAGCATACCAAAGGATCTATTATATATATATATATATATATATATATATATGTGTGTGTGTGTGTGTATGTGTGTGTGTGTGTGTGTGTGTGTGTGTGTGTGCATGTGTGTGTGTGTGAAAATATGTTGAAAATAGGAAAGAACTTGTTAGGTAAATACTCCAAAGTTCATTAGTATTTTTGTTATTATTTTTTTAAAAAAGTGCTCGATACAAAAGTGGAGCCTAAATATAATTATTTATTGAAAAATATGATTCCATCGCTACATATGAGTTCTCATGTTTCAAAACAAGAGCCGAAAATTTCAATATAATTATTTGAATTAAATTGAATTAAAGTTCCAAGCTCTGTTCCATCTTCAAGCGAATTGAAGTTTTCGGCTCTTGTTTTGAAACATGAGAACTCTTATGTAGCGATGGAATCATATTTTTAAATAAATAATTATATATATATATGTGTGTGTGTGTGTGTGTCTATGTGTATGCGTGTGTAGAAATAAACATATATATATATACATGCATATACATATATATATATATATATATATATATATATATATATATATATATATATATATATATATATATATATATATATATATATGAGTCTGCGTGTGTTTGTCTAATATAGTAAAATTCTGTCAGTCAATTTTTTTATTAAATATTTCAAATTTACGAATAAGATGTTTTTTGTTTACGGTAAATTTGACAAGATTCTTATTAACTTTTATTTTATGCAAGCTGAATTACACGCGCCTTGCTGCGTATCACACATGTTTTTGTAAGAAAATGATGATTGATTTTAAATCACTGCTATAATTTGTGGAGAAAAATGATGCATTTCAGTATTACTTAATGGTCTTGCCAATGCGACCTCCATCTTCTGGTTTTCTCCTTCTATATTTTGGATAGGAGTCATTCCCTTGTCCATATTTAAATTTAATTTAAATCCAAGGAAAAATTTTATTGGGGGTGCCCTCCTTTGATCAAAATGAAATATACTTACATGAGTACTCTAGGAGTCATTTCCTAGTTTAAATTTAAAATTAATTTATTTCAAAAGTGAAAAATCATGGGAGGTCTGCCCCTCCGTGTATCTCCTTTGATCAAAATGAAACATACTTATCCAAGTACCCTGGGTAAATGGGGGTCTATCTCCAAAATCCTAGGAGGAGTATGATAAAAAAAACAAACAGATAAACAGAGACTACAAATTTTGTGTATATAGAGATTGTTTTTCTGACGACGACCAATGGTAGTAGCTTTGTTTTCAATGGTTTTTGTATGTAGCTACACAACTTTTTTTTAATTTCTTGTGTTCTCACATTTGATAGAAGTGTATATTGTAGTGTGTTTATTATATATATATATATATATATATATATATATATATATATATATATATATATATATATGCGCCAAATGTGACGTCTGCCTGGCCGCGCCGCCGTGCTGTCCTGTCCACGGCGCCAGTTGTGACGTCACCCCGTCTGTCTCCGCGCCGTCGCCGTCCTTTCCTGTTCTGTGACGACCAATGTGACTTGGTATTCGTCGCGGCACCAAATGTGACGTTCTAACCTTTTGCTGATTCGGATGGGAATCTGGTTATATTCGGTATCAGCCTTGTCATTCCCAGATCGCCTTCAACGTCTGGTTACCGAAGTAACTGTTTTGATTTCTAGTCTAACGTTGTGATTTGATCTTAGGTAGACGAAATCAATCAGTCGCCGGGCCGTATGCAAGCTGAGTCCGGACAAGGGTAACACCGCACAAGTATATGCAAAAGAAAACAAAGTAACAACTCGAAAAGTTCAAATGTGCTAAAAAAGGATAACAATATTTTATATCTGGTTGCTGAATACAGGATTGCGTCTTTCTACCAACCCGCTAATATGGATTCGTGACACTTTGTGTTTGTTAGGCGAGTCTTAACATTTTAAATTGTTCTGTTAAGAAACTGGTTTTGGTGTATCTTCAGGCGATATTCGTAAAACCTTTTCTGGTGATGTGAGTCTAAGTCGTTCTTCAAAAATAAATTGTTCTTGGTTAGAAGTTGAGGTGGTCATTGCGTGGAATTTTAGTCAGCTTCCTGCGAGGCGAGCCTCAACTGCGAACTCCTTCTGCTCAGCTGCGAACTGCGAACTGCCGTCTTACTCGTTGCGACTCTGCTTACATGGACGCCGACCAGAACCGAGGTGGGCCTGTCGGGGTTTGAGGTTCCTTGATAATTCTAAATCCGTATTAAAGATCTTTCGTTGTTTTCGGTCAGGAAGGATTATTATTTCCATTTTTGGAAGACTTTCGTCCCCCCAATTCTTTGGTATTCATTTTGGTATCTCACCCATACACTCAGAGGGTGTCAACGGGTTTCCCCTCTCTCTCACAGTGGCATCTCACACCGATCCCTTCAGGGGGGGGCATTAACAGGCCTCCCCTCCTTCTTCACATGATTATCTTCGCCTGCCGCTCACGCCACCACTCAGCCAATGGGCGCCCAGCAGTGTGGGTGTGGCCAGACTAGCCTTGGTTTAAAAAAAATCTTGCTCAAAGAAAAAAAATCATCTTCCTTCTTTTTCTTCTTCTTTTCTTTCTTTTTTCCTCTTCTCTGCAACAAATCCTTAGACTCTTATCATAACCGAATCACCTGGAGTTCCTCAATCAGATTTTCGGCAGCATCAAGTGGGTGGTTTAACTGGACGTATTGCGCTACAGCCAATTATTCGTTTCGATAAAATAATTTTCTTATCATAGCCAGCTCCTGACACAAAACAGGTGCCTTTTCCAAACGACATCTCCGTAGATAGTTAATGGGTCAATCTTTTCTTTTTTGTAACTCTGCGGTTGGTCCAACGGACATTTTTGTTTTTCGGTCAGTGCATGACCTAATCATTTTTTTATCTCTTAGTACTCTGTGGGAGGTCCAGTGACATCCTTCTCGCGACACAATTAATTTTTCTATCTCTTAGTTTCTGTTTCGTAGTCCACTTGACTAACCTGAAACTTTCATTATTGCCATATCAATCAGATACATTCTTTTCTCATCGACATGTCAATATCTATCTATCTATCTATCCTTTTATCACTCTCAGTTTATTTCGAATCATCACCATTTTATTCTTTATTTCAAACTTCCTCTGTCTATATCAATCAGATAAATCCTTTTCTCATCGAACTGTCCATGTTAATGCATCTATTGTTTTTTTATGTGCAGTACTTAGTGGAAAGCGTTCAATATCAGTGACAGAGATAACATATTCTGTTGTATGGAAAGTGTTTATGACCCATGGTTTCAAACGTTTGCAATCATCAGACAAACTCAGATGATTGTCTGATGATTGAAAATGTGAAACAGAGGGTCACAAAATATCCGTACAAACACACATCACACACACACACACACACACACACACACACACACACATATATATATATATATATATATATATATATATATATATATATATATATATATATATATATATATATTTGAACAAAGCTGACGTAATTTTATATACCCCTTTCAGCCGATACATTTTCAAAAGATAGACGTTAGAGCAATTAAGCAAACTCCAATCACAATTACAAAAATAGCGAAGGAGGAGGAGAAACCGAAACACGATTAAAACAAATGTTAATTCTAAATAATTGATGACTAAAAACAGATATGAAAAGGTTCCGACAGAATATAAAATAAAAAAAAAATATTTACTCTTGGCCTTGTGTCATTCTAAGCCAATCTTCGTAAATATAATTTTTTTTTACATTCAGATATTGGCCTGCTTTTGTAGACGTTTTCTGACCCTTCGCCTAGTTTCAATAAGGTTGACAACAGGCCTGACGCAATTCTAATGTCGACAGAGACAAAGCGATCGCCTATTCAAACAAACACAAGGGACGAATAAGATGTTCCTTCTGTATATAGCGATTTCCAAGCTACTCAGTCGTAATTGTTCTAGCAAGACAAGCTTGCTAACCATTACACCGCCTCGAGGTACTCTCCTTCTGTATATATAGGCTAGGCTGATAACTTGTTATATCAACCTTCAAGAACTCAAAGTCGGTGGGCAGAGGGAACTCTACGTAAAACAGAAAAGAAAATCTGTCATCGTATTCTGCGGGACAATCTGGGTTGTCGAGTAACTGTTGCTCGATGGACGAATCGTGCACGGATTGAGTGGGCCTCAACGAAAGACTCCTGGATCTTAAGTAGACAGGAACGTGATGCGCAATGGGAGTTTTCAATCTTTGATTGGTCCGTTCTATGTATACAGCATCACACTGGCATTTATATCTGTACACTAAGGACCTATTTTCAAAATAAGAAAACCAAACTTTATGAAAGGAAGGAAATACGGAGCTAGTCTGAAAGACAGTACGAAACTTAACGGTATTATAGCACTAATTAATGCAAGCCGAAACGCTATCAGGAAGCAACAGACACTTCCTGCCTAACCAAGACAATTTGAGTCTGGGACCTAAAATTACTGGTTCCTAAAAACGTCAGCCTTTACGTTTCATAACACGCTTAATAACATTAACTGGAAAAAACATTTTATATAAAAAATCCTTGAATCCTTACAAGTTCTTCATTTTTTATCGTAATCGGAGAACAAATCAAAAAAGCGGAACGGATCAATCTAGAATCTAGTCTAATATATATATATATATATATATATATATATATATATATATATATAGTGTAACCCAGATATAAGAGACCAGGATATACGAGAAACCCAGATATAAGAGAGATTTTCTCTGGTCTCAAATTAGAGCCTGTGTTAATGTATTAGACCAAATCCGGTTATAAGAGAAACCCGGATATAAGAGACTTCTTCTCCGGTCCCGACAACTCTCTTATATCGGGTTATACTGTATATATATATATATATATATATATATATATATATATATATATATATTTACATTGTTCGGACTATAATCCATATCTTTGTTACGATATTTATCACAATTTTTCAGCTTTTGTACGCTCCAGCCTACTTCAGGTGGATCGAATGTCGAACTGAACCCATTATTTCGCTCGCTGGGGTAAACTGTTCTAGTTCCACGTGTCATGTCAATTATCAGTTATCTCCTGCTGATTCCTCTCTCCATGTTCTCCGCCGCCTTAACCAGGTGTTGAACTCGCACTCTTTGGGTCATGTCATTGGACCCAGCTAAATCAGATGAAACAGACTCTCGCCTCTAAGTGTTGACTTCTATGTTTCGCTTTTATATTTACACACGCTCTATCTCTGATATCGAGCACTTTATCCCATAAATATAGCACACCATAAGACTATATTTCTATATATATATATATATATATATATATATATATATATATATATATATATATATATATATGTGTGTGTGTGTGTGTGTGTGTGTGTGTGTAAAACTGTTATGATTAGCTCAATATTTGAGCAAAGGTGTGTTAGTAAGTAGTTAAAAAAAAGTAATTATTTTTCATGGTTGAATTCGCCGATACATTGTGTCTGAATATATATATATATATATATATATATATATATATATATATATATATACATATATACATATATATACACATATATATATGTTTGCGTGTGTCTGTTTTATGTGAGGCATATAATGACTCACCTGGGTCGAATCTACTCAATTACCCGCCAATATTCCATTAATGTCACGCTGTATAACCTATTGGCGTAGAGTCAAAAGAAAAAGCTACTTCTTCCTCACTCTTCTGGTCACTATATTCATTCAATCAATTAATTGTTCAGTCCTTCATTTTTATACATAATACCATTTATTTTTACACAGCATCCTATAACATTGTTTCAGTTAATCAATTCCCATACAGTAAATTATCAAATATCATTTTCCCATCTACGCTTTTAAATATTTTATACCAACTGGCAAGTCTTCGATTACTGAAAACCTGCAACATTTCTGACAGGCCATCAACAACGCACTGTGGGATCTCTATTGGTTCAAGATCGTGTCTTATCAAAGCACTCTTTTTACTCAGCGTGATTTTAAAGAAGGCTTGTAATAGTCGACAGGTTGAATGCAAAAAAAATCATGGTGCGCGCAGGGGATCACAGTCATATTGTTAGGCGACCACGAGCCGAATTCTTACAGGATAGTCAATGGAGAACCTCCGGGTAATTCAGAATGATGTCGCAAAACGGAATTTGGCAAAGGCTATTAAGAGAAGTGAGGGTGTCTTACTGCGTCCGATATCTACACTTACGACCAACTGCTGTCAAGCTGTTGTTCAGCTTTATTACTGGATAGATAGGCTTTCTGATGGAGCCGTCATAAAGTTAAATGAGAACATGACTCCATGCTGTTTTCACTTAATTGTCGTCTGCATTGTCCAAAGTTGGTGCCGCCAAGCAAACTGTAAATTGTGTGAATGTGGGGTGCGTTCTGAAAGACAGACGTAGCGGAGAAAGAGATTTATAAAAGTTTGAGTAGGGGTGGTGTCGAAAGAGAAGAAAAAAAAACAGAGATTAATGTGTAGAGTTATTGTGAAACGAAAATGGATGTAAGAGTCTTAGATATAGAGAGAGTCAAATTAAGAAAGTAAATGAAATAAAAAGGTAAGTAAATATTAACTCGATCTGGCACAAGGATATTACATTTAGTGTAATTAAAGAGGATCTATGGTGGTAACAGAACTTATGTTACGAATCCAACGTGTTACCAATTAAGCACATATTATTATGTCGGTACAATTTAAACAGACAGTGTAACCCGGATAAAAGAGACCCGGATATAAGAGAAACCCGGATGTAAGAGAGATTTTCTCTGGTCCCAAATTAGAGCCTGTGTTAATGTATATAAAATAGACCAAACCCGGATATAAGAGACTTCGTCTCTGGTCCTGACAACTCTCTTATATCCGGGTTACACTGTAGTAATATCGATATCAGTGGCCGAATTTATGGAGGACATGTTTATTTTACATAAAAAAAATATATATTTATTTATTTTTCAATAAAATACCAATCCTTATCAATGTACTTCATTCAGTAGCGACGTTCTATTTTTACATATTGGGATAAACGGGTGTTCTCTCAGTGTGTCCCTTCTCTATTGAGCGACTGTTGGGACACAAGCTCAACACAGACCCCAAGTAAAACTCGTACATGCAATCCATCGCTAAAGATACTGGAAAAACGTTCGGTTCCCTGAACCACAACAGACGTACCTGACTTTTCTTGCTATCATCTACATTTGCTTTACTGCTTCTATATATGGGAAGAACTTCCCAGCATTCACTTTCCAGCTGTGACAGATGCCCCCCGAAAAAAAAAAATATCTCAACACATTGGGGGTGATGAATATTTTTCCCCCCTACAGTCTCTTTTCCATAGACGAAACACCGCAAGACTTTCGCTGTTCTGTCGCTATTTCCATGGGAAAGTGCTCGGATGAACTAAATTCCTTAGTCGGGGCAATTCTAACCTTTACGTCTAAGACCCGACATGCTACACACTTTGTATCGGACGACGTTTATTCGCTTCATATTCCGCTGGTCGGATTTAAGTTCAACTCGAGCAACTTCCCCACTAATCTCTTACTCGTGGAACAAGAGGATGCTTTCCCGATCATTACAATCTTACCATTTTCAAGTCTGGATTAACCGTTATATTACCCACATATCTGCAATAGCTGCCTCTTAATCTGTAATCTACTCTGAGTGACTTTTTGAGTTTGTACTCAAAAGATTAGTTTGTAAATTATACAGTAAAAAATATGTAATCACAATTTGACATCACAACTTGACATCACATTTTGACTAATAACTCTCATGATATGGATTAATAATAATAATAATATATATATATATATATATATATATATATATATATATATATATAATGCGTGCCAAATTATTAACAAGATAACTTTTTTCTAATATTTCAAAACCGTCAAATCTATTCACACAAAATTTTCACATAATGTTGGCAACACTGACCTGCGCAATCACTGAAGTTTGTGTACTGATCTGCGCAATGTAAACAAGCTGGCGCCATATTTGTTATCAGCACGATGATTTGACCGTGCCAAATTATTAGAAACGTGTAAAATTTAGTGAAAAAATGGGCCGTAAAAGCAGTTTAAGTGATGCTGAAAAAAAACTATCACCTCAGAACTCTCAAAA